GGGGGTCCCGGCACCGCCCCCAGGACCCCGGCACCGCCCCGGGGGTCCCGGCACTGCCCCCCGGGCCCCGGGAGGGGCTCCCCAAGGCCGCCAGCCCGGCCCTCTCGGCCTGTCCCCCTTTGTGTTGCTGCGCCGGGCGCATCCCTGTCCCGAATTTACCTTTTTTCCCTCATTTCTAGGCTGCGGCTTTGAGTCCCGCTGCTGAGAGAGCTCGGACGCCCCGTTTCCTTCCGTCTGCGCAAGGCGGTGACTCCCAGCCTGGCGCTGGGGTCTGGGATGTCCCTTCTCTGGTGCGGGTCTGGGGTCCTTGTTGCCGGGAATTCTGCGGGAAAATCGTGGATCTTTCAGCGCTGTGAGCGCAACAGGTTTAAAAAAAAAAGACCCCCACACGCTCAGGATTCACTGGCAGTGGTTCCAGGCTGGCATCGGGGTCCCTGGGGCGTTAGGAAGCAGAGGAGCCCTGAACAGCTGGAAGTCTTGGCTGTAAACCCAACAGTTCCTCTCGCAGGAATCCCTGGAAAGATTTTTCTCCTCCTTAACATTTCCTTGAAGTCTTTTTTACTAGGGTTCCTTCTAGAATAAGCCACCCCAAGATGCCAGAAACCTTGTAGGTTTTCACTGGATGTGAGATCCCCTCCTGTGGGACCCTCTGCTGAGTTCCCTGGACATTCATTCTCAATTCACTTAGCTTAGCAAAACCATTATTTTTTTTTTTAAATTAGCACTGTTCAGTGATGTCCCTCCAAAGAAAAAAAACCCAGCCACAGGGCTGTATCCAACTGAAGGCAATACAGCCATAGCGTGGAGCTCCTGCTTTTCCCCACATGGTGCCTTTCTTGGCACAAACCATTATGAAGTTTCTCCTTTTTCCTTCTCTGCCTGTTATTACAATTTATTTATTTATTTATTTTCCCCCCTAGCCCTTTGGAAAAATATTAGAGCTGGCTAAAAAGACTGATAGCAGCTGGGGAAAAAAAATACATAGCACCTGCTGCTACGTAACATTTTCAACGAAGCAGAATTAAAGCCTCAGGTAGTTTTACACTACAGCTCACACTAGAATGAAAAGGTCTGTATTCACAGGCAGCACGAGAGACAAATGAAGTTTGGGAGATTACATTCTTGTACAAACTGAGCCCTCTGCAGATGGATAGTGCTGATTAGTTTTGATTCTGTCTACTGCATTTATCTTCCCAGCCTACCACATGAGATGAAGTTAGATGGGCCTTACTTAGCAGACTAGGTTGGCTAATGCTGTACAAATCAGA